GCAGAGGGCCCTAGTTTTTATAAGTTGTTTTTAAAGTTATAGATTAACATGGCTACACCTCAGAGATTGCTGATAGATGTTTAGTGTTCCAACCTGTGCATAAATATCCAATAATGGCGACCCCACAACCTCCACAGGCAATTTATTCCACTATTTACCCACTATGATAGGAAGATTTTCCTAATGTCCTTCCCCCTATTCAGTATTAGATATTTCCAGCAGGCTTCTTAGGTGGTAAGTGGGAGGCCTTGTGGCATCTGGTGACTGCCTCTATTATTTAGTTTCCCCCTTATATCCCTTTTGCTTAAGGCAGGAATTCTTTGTGCTCCGTTGAAACGTTTCTCAACTCAAGTGGAAAAATACAAGATCCAAAATGGGTTTTAGCATGAGGTGGCCTGGCCACACGTCTTTCTTCTAGGACCAACCACAGTTTGGGTTTAGAATGATAGAACCCTAGAGCTGGAAGAGACCTCAGGAGGTCGGCTCCAGTGCCTGCCCAAAGCAGGGCCAACCCCAACTCAGTCATCCCAAGCAAGGGCAAACAAGACTTACAGGACAAACGAGACGATTGACAGGTTGTTGGTTTGAGTACTGAGTCATCATGATCTGAAAGAATCCCTCAAATTAGTATTTCTGACTTCATGTACAAAAATGATACAGGTACAAAAGCAGATTCAGCACATTGTAACTTTAAAATGTTTGACACGTTACATGATGCATTTTGCATAAAGCATCACAGGGAGGAGAGGGACACAAAACTGACAGTGGCAACTAGGGAGCAGCTATTCATCAAGAGAGTGGCCAGCAGGGCTGGGGCTTTGCTGTCTTGTCAGCAAGCACACCAGTAAGGAATCCCCCTTCCCCAACCCTGGAGCATGCCCCCCATAAAGAGGCTGGAGGATGTAGGGGGGTGTGGTGCTGGAGGAGGGGGAAAGCCCCCAAAGACTTGCCCCCGCAACAGCCTGCGAACTGGGCAAGGAGGGCAGCTGCGGGGGGAGCCTGCAGGCCATGGGGGTGCACACAGGAGGGAGCAGCAGCTTCTGGAGCCTAGTTTCCCCCCAGACAGCCTGCAGGCTGCAGGGGGAGTGCTGGAGGGTGTGGGAGCCTGGCCTCTGGGGGAGTCACCACCGGAGCAGTGCCTCAGTAAGCTCTCCTTACCTCCCAGTCCCCTGCTCTGAGTTCTGCACCCCCTTCCCCTGCCCTGCGCCCCCCACACTTCCCAACCCTCTGCTCTAAGCCACTTACTCCCTGCCCTTCCTCACCCCCAAACGCTCACTCCAGCCTTCATTTTCCTTCATTTTTGAAGAAGACAATGGTTGAAATAACGCATGTATATTTTTCATTTTTTTTAAATCCATCAGTTACAGATCCGAGCAACACTGGGTACATCTGCTAGTGCGCTATGTGTGTGCCCCAAGATGTTGCTGCAACAGAGGAAAGAAACAGAGACCGATGTGCCATATGTATCTGTAGCAGAATTATTATATTTTTCACTAAAATGACAAAGTTGCTTAAGACAAAAACATCTGGCATTCATGCTCAGCTGCAGAAATTGAGCAAGTAAATGTCTCAGATGCTTTTTCATCTCATGGGAATGAATGGAGCTTGGACCAATAAAAAAAATACATGTGTGATACATTCAATTATTGTCAGAATCATAGTATGCTGGTTGATTAAACAACTGTGGACAACATTATGAGGTGTTACCACATTTCCCCAATACTCTGGGATATGCTCATTTATTAGGGTTACTCTTATGGGGCTGGGGGGAGGTTAACCATTCTATCAGTGTGCTGTTTGTGCTTACTTGTGTTCTCATGTTGAGCTGAATTCTCCCTGCTGCCAATTCCCCCTCCCATTGGAGGTCTCCTGCAGGAACTAGGTTTCTCAGGATGGGGTTTTTTCCACCTTAGCAACACACACAGACACTCACACCCACTACCAGAGCACACCTGAGAGGACTGGGTACTCAGCACTCACAAACTGACCCCTCATATGTCTCTGGATTCAGCAGGCAGGGTTTAACAGCAATGCCACGCTGCACCCTTATGACCCTTTGGACTCAGTGGGCTGGATTAAACAGAACATTAAGCTGCCATCCTCATAAGCCCCCAGGTTCAACACCCCCATCCCCACTTTCATACTTTGATAAATCACACATGAGCAAACCCCACAGGATTTTGGGCAGTACAGGGATCTTTAGCTTGGGTATAAGAAGTGTTGTTGCAGAGCAAATGGGGAAGCCAACACAACACTCCTTGAGGAAGAGTGAGCGAAAGAGAGAGAAGCAACCAGCTTAACAATGAAAGTTATTTATTTCTGGGTAGTGATAGGAAGCCAAACACACATAACAGTTACAATATTAAATCTAAATTGAAACTGATTACAAACGTTAGGGCTAGCTAACCATATAACAGTTTACATAGGGCAGGGTCAGGAGGCTATGCTTGGGGGGCGGGGGGTGGAGGGAAGACAGAGAGAGAGAGAGACCTCACCACTCCATAGAGCTTGCACTGATCGGGGTTCCAAGATGGTGATGGTAGCCAGCATGGGTGGCAGGTTTGTATGATTTTTGGTGGTGCCCCATTAGCCCCATCCCCTGGCCCCTCTTAGCCATGCCCCTGACCTCCCCCC